GAGCCGATATTCTAAGCATCTAAGTAATGTCCTAATTCTTATTGTCGCAGCGCCTCATTTGACCTTTGACCTCGGCTTGTGAGGTTAATAGTCAAGATTATATTTGATGCCATTTGAAAGGCAGCATGCATTTTGAAGTGTTTCGGAAAGGGTGAACTGTAACTTGCAATGTCAATATGTGTATATCTTTGACGAAATTATTTGAATGGGAATTCAAAGTAATATCAGTTAAACGCAAGATATGTAATCGCTTGCTTGTGCATGCATTAATTGTCATTCATATCTTTTTGGCATTGTTACAAATCCTTCATTTCATATGGCATACTATGCCACTTCGTGTTATGAAACGCTATAATATATGCTTACAAAGACGATTTATGGGGAAGCATGTATCCCTATTCTACAATGACCTTTATCTGCATGCGTATAAAGGACGATAGAAAACCCCACCACAGCAACTCATTCATTTCAAACAAACATTTATAGTTCAGCCACCCGCACTTGCCACGGAATCTAAGCCGAAGCCGAGAAAAGCAACGAACCAACACCCGTGACACACACAGATGTAGATCTCACTGTTAAACAATGACCTTTCTTTATCTATTGCAAATATTACACCTACGCGTGTGTCACAGGTGCTGGTTCGTGGTGTTTCTCGATCTCGCCGTGGCCTCCTCGGCAACTGCTGGTGGCTGAACCATGAATGTTTGTTTGAAATGAATGGGCTTCAGTGGTGGGATTCTCTGTGGTCCGTATTCGCATGCAGAAGGGGTAGCTCTTTATTGCCGTCTGATATATAGCTGGCCGACCCGATATGCATGTGGAAGAGCTGCACTTCCGAGCGAGGAGTTCTCAGGGCGCGCGAACTCTCCGTATATCGCCGACGTTCTGCGACACCTTCGCCAAATTACTCTTCGCGTGCGCCAAAACTTCCTCCAGGGTTATTTTTTCGTACTTTTAGCTTTAGGGTCCACGAGTTGATTGGGTCTGGAGTCGTCGGAACTTCCTGCCCAATACGTCTCCCGCGAAAAGTTCTGTTTGAGTTTTGTTTTCATTTTTTTTCGCTGTTGTTTTAGAGGATTACGTAGATGGAATTCCTGGCGACATATCCATCTATTCCCTTTCGACAGCCCGATGGAATAATGGAATGATTATCGTGATGTCGGAGCGAAAGCAGGAGAGGGAAAGGGAGAAAGAGAAGGAGGAGAAAGAGAGAGAAAAAGAGAGAGACAGAGACAGACACAGGCAGACAGACAGACAGAGAACGCAACATTTGCCTCTAATTATAATATCCAGGCCCATACCCAAGTTTGAATCGATATGAAACTCAAGCCGTATCACAAACAAGACTTAGATATACAGACAGAAGGCAGACGAGGCTCTCCGCAAGCCCCTGGCCGCTTGGCAAGCTCGAATGAACTCGCTTGCAACGATTAGGTGTGAATCCTCCTCCAGCCCGTCTGTTACGTGGGGTTCCCGTGAGGTGGGGGTGAGGGAGGCCACTCTCGTTGGGGATGCTTGTTTGTGTGTTCTGTGCTGGTTTTTGTTTGCTTGTTTATTTGTTTAATTGTTGGGTTGTATGTTTTTTTTCTTCATTTTTGTTACATATTCTCGGTAGGTTCTGATATTTGCATTTTTTACGGTCTCTCTCTCTCGGTCTCGGTCTTTGTCTCTCTCTCTCTCTCTCTCTCCTCTCTCTCCCTCTCCCTCTCTCTCCCTCTCCCTCTCCTCTCTCTCCCTCTCCCTCTCCCTCTCTCTCTCTCCTCTCCCTCTCCCCTCTCCTCTCCTCTCCTCTCCCTCTCTCTCTCCTCCCTCTCTCTCTCTTCTCTCTCTCTCTCTCTCTCTCTCTCTCTTCTCTCTCTCTCCTCTTCTTCTCTCTCTCCCTCTCCCTCTCCCTCTCCTATCTCTCTCTCCCTCTCTCCTCTCTCCTCTCTCCCCTTTCCGTTTCCGTCATTCACCGTCCGGGCCTCCAATTTATTACGTTTACATTTTCGAGAAAAAAAATACCATGAAGAAATAAATGAAAAAAAAATGCTGTTTGCAGTTTGCTCTTCTCATGGCGAGCAGCGTCAAAGCAGAGGCGATCGGAGCAAGATCTGATGCCTTTGTGCGCCAACAGCGGATGCTGCGAGGCGATTCGCATGCCAGCGCCGCCCGTTGGAAAACGTGCCTATGTCTTGGCGCAATTATCTCCATTTTTTCCATTAAGGAGATTGGACACGCCGTTCTCCTCCTCCGCGTTTGTCTTCGCGTGTCTCCGACGGAGGGCGGGTAGCGTTGAGGACGTGGGCGTCTCGTGTCGTGTCGCGTTGGGGGGCGAAGTGGGCGGGAGGAGGAAGGTGAGAACGGGGGGGGGGGGCTTTTGAGTAAGTAGTGTGTCTGTGGGTGGAAGGGAAGGCGTAAGGGGATGGTGATGCTGGATTCTGGTTTCTACGTTTGATGTGTCTACGTGCAAGTCATACTCCCACTCACTCTCTCAGTCAACACTCACTCGCACACTTAAACGCAAACTCACATTCACGCACTCAGTCACTCAAAAGGTAATTACGCATTACCCGTGTGTGTGTGTGTGTGTGTGTGTGTGTGTGTGTGTGTGTGTGTGTGTGTGTGTGTTGTGTGTTTGTGTGTGGTGTGTTTGTGTTGTGTATATTATGTTCGTATGCGCGCGCGCTTTACCTTTTGGAAAAACTTCAAGATTTCCCCCATTAGTTTACACTAACTCCTCTAATGGCCCGTCTCTTTCTTGTTGCAGGTAAGTTACCGTCGACCCGTGTGGCGTCCAAACAATTTTCGCGACCTGAGTTAAGCTGGCCAGATCCGGCTTACGCTGTCACGGTAATGTATCAGCAATAGTTTCAACTTTTATTATTGTTTAATGCGTTGCTATATCTTCGCAAATCATTAATGGCATTGTTGATGTGATTTTCCTGTGGAGACTAACATATCACGTAAAAGTAAGAACGCATACCAAAGAACTTTGCGAGTATAAAATGTATTGCTATGTACATACATGTACTGACGTAAGAATGGTTTAATTTGCGTGGGAGAGACCAATTTGTTGATACTGCCTTCCTTTTATCTTCTGCATGTAACTAATAATTAAAACCACCTGCAACACCAACACCAGTCATCAAGATTTCTTCCAACTCTGTATCTCCGTCTTTTTTATCTTCGACAATGCTCGCTCCCGTTATATATCTATATCTATCTATCTATCTATCTATCTATCTATCTATCTATCTATCTATCTATCTATTCTCATATCTTTTGTTTGGCTTTTCCGGCATTCTCTTCCCGTACACCGTGTCCGTGTTAGTAAGTCGTATCCCCTACCCCCCCCCCCTCCGTGTTCTTCACCCCGTGTGCTAATTCATCAAGGGAAGGCCTGCCACTTCAAAGGCAGTGTCAGAAATAATCCACTCGACCCTTCACTAACCATGCTGTACTTCACAACCTCACAACCTCTCCGCCTCCTTCCCTCTCCCACTTCGGGGACGCTGGGGCTTCTGTGAGATGGCTGAAACAGACAAAGAGGCAGGTCCAGGGGCAGCAGCAGACACAAAGGGAGAGACAGACATGGCAGATAAAGGGATAGACACAGTTACGGGCTTAGGCACAGGTAGATAAAGGCGATTGGGGTACGCAGATCCTAAGTCGTGAGAAACCACAGAGGGAAATACAGAGGCATAAGATACACAGTAATGGAGACCAAGCTATAGATTGATGATATGAATATTGAATAAAAAGCGATATATTCATATGGGTAGATATAAGGGAAGATGCAGGTAAATAAATTGATATAGGGGTTAAATGGAGAGAGACGCAAACATGGAAGTAGTTTAACAAAATAAGTAGACACAAATGATTCCGATAGACCGAAGGGAAGATACAGTAAGTAGACAGAAACAGAGGGCCCAGGGTCGATCCAGAAAGACAATATACAGACAAAGAAGCAGATGCGAGGGTAGGGATAGATACTGATGCACAGGCATATATAGACCCAGAGTTTGTTACCTTAGTGAAAAAGGTACAGTCAAAAGTGGACAAGGCATAGATGAAGGGAATAAGAAAGAATGAGAGATGAAAACAGGGTGGAGAAGGACAGAAAGAAACCTGGATGTACAAGAAAGGCAAGCAAAGAGATCGCAATAAAGAAGCTAACATAGGTCGCTATTGATTTGTTGTTAGGATCGCCCATGCAAGGTGTACGATATATAGCTTTGAGATTGCTCAGAATAGAGAAGAGAGAATGAGAGAAAATAGAGAGAAGAGGAGAAATTGAAATGAGAGAGAATGAGAGAGAGAATGAGAGAGAGAATGAGAGAGAGAGAAAGAGAGAGAGAATGAGAGAGAAGAGAGAGAGAATGAGAAGAGAGAGAGAGAGAGAGAGAGAGAGAGAGAGAGAGAGAGGAGAGGAGAGAGAGGAGAGAGAGAGAGAGAGAGAGAGAGAGAGAGAGAGAGAGAGAGAGGAGAGAGAGAGAGAGAGAGAGAGAGAGAGAGAGCGCACTAGTCACTCGGTCCGTGTGAATCACAGCGACATAAAGTACTGCCTCTTCTACGTGGAGTTGAGATACGAGGCAGCGTGGGATTTTTTTCCCTTTTTTATCCTAATAGATATGTCCTTTCACCCCCTACCCTCAGACCAGGAGAAGGGTGGGGGAGGGGGAGGGGACACGCTCAGCTGGCGGGTGGGGAGCGGAAATGGAGGAGGAGGAGACGACGCCGGGAAAAGGGAAATCGGAAAGGTATCATGAAAAAAAATATATTGTCGGCGCGTCGTCACAAGCCGCTTACTGTGGGCGTGGAGCGGGTGGGCGGAGGGCGGTCAAGCCAAGAGTGAGCTGTGACCACTCCCTCCCCTTGGATCATATGTTGGAAAATTAGTGTGGAGTGGTACGAAAAAATCAGGTGTCCATAAAACTATAAAATGACTTTCATTTGCAATTCAAAAGCGTTCATATTGTAACAAAAACTATTTTTTCCGTTTTGTGCAGTAGACT